CCCATTGAGTTTCTCTCGACTGCACCTCCCTTTCCCATGTCATTCTCTCTGTCTCCAGAAAGAGAAGGAGCCAAGTCTGCCATCGAGGCGTGCTACTTCTGAACTCTGCTTCTTGTTTTATCCCCTGAATTTCAGGGTAGGTTTTTCCATAGGAAATTAGAATAATCCCATTTTCAGAAGTGGTCGGGCACTCAGTGGATCCTGTTGTGACCACCCACCATTAGCTGAGCACAACTGAAAACTTGCTCGTGAAATATCCAGGGCCATAATTTTTCTGTGTTTTATTTTAATTTTTTTGTGTCTTCTTATTATTTATTTTATTCTATGCTGGTTTGGAGCTATGCGTGCAGCAAATAATGTGCCAGGGTCAGTGTTTGTTTCAATAGATGGTTCTTTTGCATCTCTGCAGTCTTTTGTTACCTTCCCACTTGTCTTTGACTTTGGGGGAAAAAAAATATTATTATTATCTATGTTAATTAGCAAAAAATCCTTTTCAGCTCTAATAGGAGTCTATCATCAAGATAGGCTGATTTGCAGGCGTTTGGGCTGTCCAAAGATTCCCTTATCTGCCCTTCACCAGCAATTGTTTTTGCAAGGTCTTTTTTTCCCCCCTGCACGAGGTGCTTAAACTTATCCAAGTATTTTGTGGCTGGTTGTTCTCAGCTGGTGTTAATATTCTGGCAGCACCAGATAGAGGTGGTCTTGTGCTGGACACGGTACTGACGGAGCACAAGAGACCAGAGAGCCATGAAGGACTTGGAAAAAACATTGAGGCAGCGATGAAGGACAGATACAGACAGATGCAGTGGCTTGTCCAGGGCCCCTCTGGTCTCCCTGAAATGACAAGGGTTCCTTTTGGTCCACTCTTGAAAGGAGAAACTAAAAAAAGGTTATTAAACTTGTGTAACTGTCTTGAACAAAAAAATGATGAACGTTTAATCCCTGATATGGAAAACTATTAAAGATTCATAATTGCAATAAAACTATCTAATTGAATTTGAATTTTCATTGTTTCGCTGCTGCAGTGAGCCCCGTGCTCCTTCTTTTAGCAGCAAAACCCACTCCAGTGGAGCGCCCAGTGAACTAGAAAGACCTGAGAGATGATACTCATTACACTTGAACGTGTGTTTCTCTTGGCAGTTTACGCACTTGCATAATTTTCCCTCCCTGTTCTGGTGATCAGCAATTTTCTGATTGATGGTTTAAAGCTGACAGAGCTTGAAGGGAACCTGAGATATTTGTGGGGCCTGATGGTTGGGAACGTGGTCATTGTGTCATTTGCCTTCCCTTGGGCTCCCTCCCTCCTGGTTTCTCGGTCTCCATGGATCAGCTCAGGAGGATCTGGCCGGCTCGCTGTCCTCCTGCGGCAGGTTCGCAGAGGTGAGCTCGGCTCCAGGCTGTCTTTCTTTCAAACCAGGGCAGTTTCACATCCCTAGTTTTTTTTGCCAGCCGCTCTGTGCTGGGGTAGGTGTGAGTATCCCACCCCAGCACAGCTCTGCTCTGCACTTTCTCCCCTCCAGACAGCAGCTGTGAAGGGCCACCAGCCCCTGGCCATGACCTGCCAAATCCAACCCGTGCCTGGTCCTGTCTGTCGTCCTTCTGCAGGGAAAGTCAGAGAAAAGGGAAAGGCCAGCCAAGAGCAGGCGGCTCTGTTTGCAGGATCTGCTGCTTTCAGCATCTTACTGGAGCCAAAGCAAAAGCTGGTGCAGCAGGACCTGGCCTGTGCCAACGCCGGGGCCTCGCAGCGGCTGCGGCACGGGCTCCCTCTTCCCCTTGAG